CCCTTCTCATCAGCGCTGGCCCTTGCCAGCTTAAAGGATTTGAAAGTGTTTCCGTCCGAGTAGCCCCATTCATCTGAGCAGCCAAGAAAAAATTCCAGGAGAATTTTCAAACAAGAAGGAACGCATGATATCTGATGTCCCGATTGCCCGTGTATCCCAGGAAAAGATGTCTTCGCCGGCTCTGGGCCCAGACTGCCGCACGCCAGAAACGAGAATCTGGCACTTACCCATGGCTGGATTGTCTCGCCAGGCTGCCGCACTGGTTTGGTTTTTCTCTACGGCCTGCTTATGCCTACCCGTGGCTGAAGTGCAACGATTTGCCACGCTTGTGCTGAAGTTGCCGCCTGGGACATCTTGAGCCCTGGCTAGCTCTGATTTTGTTTGAGCAATTTTGGACACGCAATGACATGTACTCCCACGTGCTGCATTCTGGATTTGCTTGGACGTGTCATGACATGTACTCCCACATGCCGCTCACATTCTCACCACCCCAACCCCCACCCCCCTTGCATACCCTAGATGTTTCTCGCCAGCGGTAGATGTAGATGTAGGTGTAGGAAAACCTTCCTACATTTGGAGTACCCCCCCATCCTACATCTATTAAGGGGGTGGGGATTCCAAATCAGTTCCCAGCGACAGAATTCAACAGATGGCTTCTAGGCAGGTATGGATCTTTGACGTGTGGTGATTTGTGATAAGTTTGAACAACCTATACGTGTCTACATTGTAGGACTTGTGCTCTTGATGTTTAGTACTGCTCTGACTCCAATTTGCTAGCACATTGGCCACTAGTGGCCATGCTTGGAAGTTCGAGGGAAATGGATTTGGGAGTTTGATGCTTTTGGAAACTCTGTTGAAACATGATTTAAGACAAGCGGATGCTTGGCATTTCGCTGGTTTGGACTTGGGATCTTGGTGATTGCTGGTACGTAGTAATGAGCATTTGGGTGATTTCGCAGAATATCGTTGAATATCGTGGAATTGTTATGCATAGCCATTGCGCTTAGAATTGCCAGATCACGGAGAGACATCTGGTGAATTCTTGACCGATCTGGGAAATCATTGTGTTTTCATCACTTTTTGGTTAAGAGGACCGTTCCATGCAAAAATCGAAGGCGTAGCGAAAGCACGCACGCATGTTATTCACAGTGACGTTGCAAGTGACTCCGAGACCAACCGAGGAAATTGCCATTTGCGTTCCAGACAGAATTTGATGAACATGTGGAGGCCATGTCTTCTTGTTTTGTTCCACCCATGATTTCACCCCCCAAGAAGTGTTTGGGAGTAGGTCCTCATCAACCATTTTGCAAGGCGGGGTATTTCTGTGAGGTAGGGTTTGGCACGTTTCTGAGGGTTGTTTGCTACTCCAACGCTGATTGCAAAGTGCGAGACTGCGAGACTGCATGAAATTGCGTGAAATCCCAACGATGGAGCTGCAAAGCTGCTGGGCATCACTTCTTTCTTGGAATGAAGATGCATCCAACTAGAGCCATGGGTGGCCTGAGCAGGAGCGCTATATGCTGTACAGTCAAGTGCTCCCTTCGAAAGCATTGACCGATCCCCCAAATCAAGATAGGAGTGCTTCTTGGTGTGGGTCAGTAATCAAAAAAACGACTGTACCATCTATCATGAGCCATCGCGATCCCAGCCACGGCTCGGAATCTAGCTTAGGTTTTTTGTTATGGAAAATATGGAGTATGAAAACCACAAATCCTGAAAACATTGAAAAACATGGAAAACTTGGAAAATATGAAGGCCGATGGCTTGCAGTTCCTCTGCCTGAGTCGTTTGCATCCATGTTGGCTTCCATATTTTCACATATTTGCCATTGCGTACCATATTTCTGAAGGGCTCCCAAAATATGGAAAATCTGGCAGAACATGTTGAAACCCGGGAAAAAGCAAAAAGAAAAAAACATAAAACATGGAGCATATATGAAAAGAATATGACACATATGAAAAGAGTACGAAAACGATGTGCCGAGGGCTGAAATGAGGCTCCTGAAGGTCCTAGACAGCCCAGGCGTCCTCAGACGAAGTTATTCAGCCACAGTATTTAGAATGTTGGGCCAATTGGGATGCTCCAATTTCCCATTTTCGGGAATGCCTGGCCGATGATTAGGTCTCAAATCTATCAGCCATCGATTTGGCGTGAATTGCGGCTTAAGTGGCAGCCTGCAATCCCGAGCCAAGGAGAAAATCAATGATCATGTGGAGGATGAACGATGCACGTGCCACTCGAGTTCTGCTCGCAAGCCACGAACAAGCGGCAACACCAATGCGCCTGGCCCTACCCTCGAGCTCGTCCACCATGTCGTAAAGGGCCTCAGCTTAGGCTGAGGCTGGGCTTGTGCGTGGGAAAGCCGCTGAGCCGATCTGAGCAGATCTGAGCAGGTCACTTCGCGGTTGTTCTGCGTGGCAGCACCATCGGCTGCCATGTGCAACCTCCCAATGCACGTCCAAATCCAAATTCCCTCGCTCTGCTCGAGAAAAGGCTCAAGCAATCTGCGTCCCACTGCGGTCATCAACTCGTCCGGAACCCTGCAATCACGCGAAGTTGTTCAAACCGCACCTTCTTCATAGTGACCCATCCAGGCTTCATCAATAGAAATGCCGTGCCTTCGAAGCACGTTTTCATGAATGCTCCGAACCTCACACACACACACACACACCACATAAGGAGCACTTGCAACGTTCGTAACGGGACGCTGGACTCCCTGAGGCACAGGCCAGACCTTCCACGTACGAACCCCCCGCAAGGCCAATGAATGGCTCGAGCAAGGCAAGGATTACCTCGCAAAACGAATCCAGGCTCCAGCTTGTAACCTCTTGCTGGATGTCAATGTGAATTTCTATGCCGTAACATGAGTCGTAACATATTGGGAATATTGCTTGCAGGGGTTTCATTATGAGGTGAAAGGACCACAGAAGGGCTCAGAGCCCTCTTGGTTTAGAATATTGGGCTTTAGAACACAAGCAGATAGGGGTCATTCAAGGCCTGCGACAGGGTCATGCTCCCTCTCTTTGAGGTTTCAGAAACCGGCCTGAGGCGATGCCTTTGGATCTTGTTCGAGTTGAGGGAGAAGCTCGTCCCAAAGCACCCGCGTCAACTGCCAATCCAGGGATCAAATGCACAGCGTTGCATGCCTTCTTGGAAGCACCTGCATGACGATCCCCACGCTCGAGGCATTGTTGGAGCGATGCGTGGCAGGCCTGCTTGCCACATTAGGAAGCTGGATTGTTCTGTTTTACTCTGTTGTGGTTAGAGCACCTCAGGAGGATATCGGCACGATCCCGGACCTACCCCAGCGTCACATCACATCACATCGCCTGCTTTGCCGCGAAACCGGTGCACACGGGGCCTCCTGCATCTGCCAGCCGCTCATGCGAAGATCCTTGGCCCACCACGATTCAACATCCGCAACGGCTGGAGGTTTGGGAGCCCTTAGACAGCAAGACAAAATCGATGAGGTCACAGAGCTGAACCACACAGAAGTCAACTGCTTCGCTTCAGCTGCAAATTGGCACCGGAAGCAGCACAAAATGGCACAAGCTGATGCTAAGTTGAAAAGGTGTGCTTCACTGTCCAAGTTAAACTTCTTCAGTCTTCAATCAGCAACCGCGCTGCGGACATCTGCGTAAGCAAGATTCCAGGAGAATTGAGGGTTCAGACTGTTGATCTGTGGCAGAGGTTGATGCGCTGGCTTCTGTAATCGTTTCCCCCTAATATTACAGTATACGTATACGACATCGTGGCGGTGTGCATGCATAGCAAGGGTGAACTAAAAACCCACGCAAAAGTATTGAAAAGCTCGAAAATACACACCGCCACGGCGTCATACTATCTAATATTAACCCTGCCCTAATATAACATACGGGGTTCCCAAAAATTCCAAATTCTGAAATCTGCCCCCAAGTCTTCATTTTTTAGAGGGCGAAGACGTAAGTTAATCACGGCTAGGATCCTCTGAATTAGGGGAGGTCCCAAGCATGACTCTCAAGCATTAGGAATCTCTTTCATTTCCTAGCTTTTGACCGTTTTTGCACGGCTTTTGTAAAGGAATTACTCTAAATCATGAATGCGACTGTATATCGCTTTTGATTCGATTTCGAATAGTTTTCCCATAGGTATTGATTGGTTTGAATACGTTTTTGAATTGATTTTCGGATTGTTTTATCAGACCTTGTTTTCATTTCAAGTGCATTGTAATTCGCTTTTGATTGACTTTAAAAAGATGATTTTGACTAGCTTTTTAGTCGATTTAATTGATCTTTATTTGGTCTTAATTAGATTTCAATAGGATCCTCTTATATGGCCCCCCTAATGTTCGGGTCGCACGAAAAACCCGCTAATACATCCTAATACTAAATACAGGTCGGAGTATGTACATTGGGGGGGAGACGACGTTTAATATTAGGGAGACGGGATTATGTTAGTATGCTGCAAATCGCCTTCGGGACGCCCAGCAAGGGTCAGGCTACTGCTGCATTAAATGCACTAACTCCAGCCAGCGAACTCGGTTTGTATGTAAGCTCGTAGCTTTGAAGATCTCTGCGAGCATGATTCGGAGCAGTAGCAGGTACTTGTTGACCTTGGGCACCGTATGGCAAGCTGTTGTGTAGGAGACATTTTGCCAGAACCCAAAACTGTCGACACCTTGCCGGAGCCATGCGATTTTTCCAGCCACAGAAAGCTGCCCCAACAGGCTGCCGGATGTCTGTACAAAAGCGGCGATACCCATTCCGTTAAGCAATGGCAGCAGTTTGCGGAAGGCTTTGGCAACTCGCTGCCTGGTGGCCTAGTGCACCAGCAAGCCGGCAGTGATGTCATCCGCTTCTCATTCGTTGTCAGTCTCGTCTCCACTATCAGGGCTCAAAACAGGACTAGTCTACTAGCAGTGTAATTTAGAATAATTTCAATTCGCAATCTAAGACAATTTTGGTACTATTCCCTATATAAAACACCATTTAGGGTGAGGTCGGGTGAGGTCGTGCCCAGTACTAGTCGGTGGTGGATGACCTCACCACGGAATCCGCCATCTCATCACTCAAGCCTGCAGCTTCAGCCTCTCGTTTCTTGCAAGCTTGAGGCAGGCGTTGCGCTAGATCCTGCCAGCAAACATCAGCAAATGACAACAGGTGGCATTGCAATGCTTCAGATTGTTGACGTCTGGTGGTCCTGCTCAGTCTTGGAGCGCTGCAGGGGAATTGGGTTGTCCTCCCGCGGCGTGTCCATTGCCTCTGGAGAGTCCGCTTCCCAAGCTGGTTCATGGTTCTCGCTCTGCTCACTGACGCTAGGCAAGGTACTCCAAACCCGAAGCTCGGTCTGGAAGTCATCTGCGTTAGCTGACCGGCATGGTTCCAAGGCGATCGCACAAAAGACAGCAATGTGCCGTAGTCCTCACGCTGCGCATCTAGCAGGGTTGCAACAAAGAAATGCGAGGATTGCTATTAGCGTTCGCCTTTTGCTTACTTCTGCACGAGGTCACCGCACTGATGGAACTCAAAACGAGGTTGGTGCAGAATTCTGCACTCCTCTAGAAACTGTTTCTGCCACTGGTTCCGTGACCTTGTACAGAGCAGAAGCATAAGAGGATAAGATCCAAGCGAGGAAAAGCCACTGCTCTCGCAAGATCTGAAGGAGTTTCAGAATCTGAGCGAAATAAGACACGATTAGACATGTTCCGTGCTTCTTCTATAGCTCTATCTGTCTTGTACGGTGCGTGAAACGATGCAGCAGTTTTCTGCGTGCAGGATGCACAGCTTAACTGCGTTAGGTCTCCCATTGGCACTGTACGGAGCATTTTTATCCACTCGGCAGCTTTGCCGGGCACCATACTTGTCTGGCTCTGTCACGACAAATGTTTCGGGAAGCTAGCCCCGTTTGCCTGCGGAGCGCGCAACTCATGCTCAGTGTCTTGTTCCTACAGGACTGAGCACATTGCTGAACTTGTTGCTCACATCCTGCCTGAATAATGCCAACCTTGTGTGTCCACCAGCTGGCAGGCAAGGCTACAATGAGCCTGTTTGCTCTAAAGCTCTTACCCGAGGCGCACGCTATGACGCCAAACAGCCCCAAGGCGCTGCCAAAAATCTCAACTATCAGCATTTTGACCTCAAAGCTGTGCAGATCTGAGCATCACCTCTTGCCGCAAAACAGGCAGACCTCTGAGTTGGGGACAAAAAGCTCTGGTCGCTGAGCATCACCCAGAGCACAGCCACTTCCAGAGACGCCAACACAGATCCCACCTCGTGGCATCAGCTGACTTTTGAGGAAAGCGTTTCATGTCTGCATAGCTCTGAGAAGGCCAAGCTAGAACAGTCAGGCAGCAGAAGAGGTTCGACAAGCCAACTGACAGGCCAACGCAGAACATGCACCAGCCTGCCAAATCTGCCAACAGGCTCAAGCTAGACCGATCAGCTCACTCTGGACAACTGGATACAGCTGGCCTGCGACCATTGTCTGCGCCTGAACAGCATCATCCAGACATCATTTCGGCTTGCTATGGGTGGCCTATCTGATTTATTCTATCAAGACTATCTTTTGTACCTTCTGTCTGGCTCCGTTCCATGGAAAACTGAGGCGGCTGAAGGCTTGCCTGCCACCCCTTGGGCTGCGATGGCACATCAAATATTTCAGAGCCCTCGATCTTGTTGGCCATGATAATCGCGATGATTACCTCGGTGGCTCATTCGTGGTTCTGGAAAATCTTGGGCGAAAAAGCTCAAACAGACTAGTCCAGCGCGCATGTGCTTCACCGCGGCCAGTGATGCAAACAAAGGACACCATAGATAGCCACAGCTTCACAAAAAATGATGCTGACCAAGTTCTTGGAGCCTGAGTTTCAGCTCAGCTGGAAACCACTCAGTCTTGTCCTACTTCATTGATGAGTTGCTAATGCGCGGGGCTTTGATGCCCGCCCCCACGATGCTGGACCCAGTCAAGAAGATCCCCCATGCTGCACCTTCAAAACACAAGGCAATACTCAGGCAAGATCTGGAGCTTCAGCAAATGCTGTCACGCTTGGAGCTTCTGGCCTAAGACTGAGACGCCCAGCGCAATCGCAATGCCCATGTATGACCACATGTATGGGCTAATGGCCTGTGCCAGGCCAGCTGAATGACCCCGACTGCTAGCAGGCAAAATTGCAATCGCCTCGAACAGGCAGAGGTACGAGGTCGCATAGCACGCCTGAGCTTTCAAGGAGACATTCACGAAAGAAGAGTCTCTGATCCCTGAGTTGGCAGCCTCATGTTGAGGGCTCGCGGCCTCTGCGGCCTTCATAGCTTGGCCAGAATGCGCATCGCTCAGTCATCCCCCAATCTCTTGCACGAACAGTTGTTGTCCAAACGCGCGTTTTACAATGCACCTCGGAGAGACGACTAGTGGCTAGACAAGCTTGGGATGCTGGCAATAAAACCAGGGCTCGTAAGCAATCCGTCAAAATGATTTGTGTGGTAAGCCCACACTGGACAGGCAAATTGGAAAGGGCGAGAGGCTCACCATCAGAAACTTGACCGCAACGAGCCAAGCAGGTGCAGCAGGTGCAATAGTCAAAGCGGTTTACCAGAACTCAGGCGAGCATCACTGCAAGGCACATTGGACATCATTTGGACCAGGCCTTCGCTAAGCCCATGGCTCTAGGAATGGACTATGTTCTGTTATTTCCACCAGCTTGAGAGGGAAAACGGCATGTTACCGACTTGAACTACCCGTTCTCATGCAGCCAGCCCTACAAGGCAATGCAACCCTATAATCAAAGACCGTGTCAAACAGCTTGTCTACTGAGCTGAGGAAAAATGGACAGGAGACAGCTACACGAGGACCTGCAGCCTGACAGCGATCTGAGGCTTGGAACCCATGAAAAAGCATTCTAAGTTCCGTCCACATTTGCTGATGTCGTGTATTCAAGCTCCAACAATACGAGCTCCCCGCAGTCTGCACACAACATGACGGTCTGTTGCAACCCAAAATGTGGCAAAACCATCCACAAACAGTCCTCCGAACTTCGCGCCCCAATGCCCCCCATGTGCCACAGGAGGCCCTGGTCGCGGTACTCATCGTCATAGCTTGCAACCCTGCCTTGCAAATCTCTGAAGCGCGGGCCACTTATTCCCAGGTCCCTGGACCCCTCTAAAATCAAATATTTGCATTTTCGAACTTATCGAGAACATGTGGGTGTTTCTTCAAGAGGAAATAGTTTCATTCAGAAAGCAGAACCATGTCATCCGAACACCCTTCAACGTTCTGAGCAGCACCACATGGTTTAACATGTGCCGCGCCACAGTGGCGCAATGCATCGTACTCCTCATCTTGGAGAAACGGCGAAGGTGTACGAGCATCATCAACCAAGACAATATTTGCCAGACTCAGCCCGGACAGAAGCTTTTCTTCCATCACTTCGCCAGATCCTGACAGAGAGGGCTCGGGCTGGCTGAACCTGCTTGTATAATCTCGCGACCATAAAGGCCGTAGAGGCATCGAAATACTTCCTACACGGCAAAGGAGACGGGCCTCTAGCTCTCTAGGGTAGCAAAATCAATGCTAGTAGCTGCAGGAGGCCCCCATGCGCGTGCGCACAGATCCATCCAAAACAGGGTGGACCGCACGATACCGCACGGAAAGCGAGTGAATCAGTTTTGAAACATACTCTGGCTCTATGGAAGACTTTCCCAGGCACACAATCTGTGCTGAACTTAACCACCAACAACGCGAAAGGCAAAGGCTTCGCCGCTATGCCCCCCCTACCCGCCCTCATGGCATGCATATCTGGACCCCCCTAACTTCTCTCAGAATGACTACGGACTGTCAATGTATTGAATTCCAGCCTTCGGAGATCTGCGGGAACCATCCCGACGGATGTGCAAGAAGACTTTCCAACACCTCAGCGGTTACTGCAAGCTTTCGACATGGCTGCGGCAATATGTTCCTCAAGCATCCTGGCAGCAGGTGACTGCTTCAACCCATGCACGCAATCAAACCTGCTGAAATCAAGGTGCCGAAGACTTGTAGTGCCCCTCTGCCTCCTTTACCGGAGGCGAAAACCTGAAATCATGTCTCAAGTCTTACACGGGGCGGGGTTTGCTCCTCGCTCGGTAACAATTCACACCATCTACTGCACACGCTGGGATTCGAAAGAATACACATCAGTGAGCGGGTTTAAACGCTAGGAAATTCTCATCCCCATGTAGACGCGGCTTCCAGCTCAAACCGAGCAGGACATGCAACCGCCCGCTTGGCTGCGGACACTGAGGTTTGGCAAAAAACTACAGGGATTTAAGGCCATTTTACCCCTTTCTTTGCCATGTAGATTCTGGCTTCGGATAGGGGCACTGCTTTCCATGAGAGATATATGGTGACAAAGCCCACACCTCTATCGCCCCTGAATTTCCACGGAACCACGCATAGTCAGTGTCAACTGTTACAAGGAAAGTCAAACGCTCACCTGGGCTGAAACCTTGCGGACGCAGTGACCAAATAAGCCAACAAAGAATTTCGCAACAACAACAACAACATCATCATGTTCTGTAACACATGAATCTGCACTTGTTCCCCTGTGGACACTGAACTAGGAGTAAAAAAGAACCCTGTAACATCATGTCTCAGAGTGCGCTCCCCCATTTCATATAACAGACCGTGGAATGGTAGAATTGAGGGTAGTCTCGAGAAACATCGGTCAAACCCGCCTATTTCATAGAGGTTCCTGTAAAATGAAATAAGGCCCAACCCAACACAAGTGCCTGTCACCCCCGTGCCGCCTGTAAGAAACCAGATGAAATAATGAAAAAAAAAAAACGTTGTAAAACTAGTGTATAATGATCTTTAAGAACCCAAGGATACAAAACATTGGAGAACGTTGGAGGTGAACTTGGATAAGCTAGGATTGCGACCACTACAAAGTAATGTAAAGATTACGTAAAGCACTTGTAAAGCACAGAACCGGGGCTGCCGGTGCAAGAGTCACAGAACACATCAGAACAAGCAACAACATGCAAAACTTGCCAACAGAAGCAAGAACTTGAAACAGCAGTAGTATACATGCAGAATCGTCTAGTAGTCGTGATCCTAGATTAGCCAAGTTCATCCACAAGATTCCCCAGACCTTTGGTATACTTCGGGTACCTACATTCCTCAATGCTTTGGTATCTACCAGGGTGACAGGCCGCTGTGGGATGTCTAAAGAATGCCGACTGGATGCCCTTCAGAATATACTCCGAAATGGGGAGGGGTAGGGTTCTTGCTTTTCATGGTACACGCCGCCAGCAAGGCATTTGATAAATCTCTTCTGAAATGCCTTGTTAAGGCTGAGGCTATGCTCGTTAACTGATTCCCAGAGCACCCCAATGCTCTATAGAATGGTCACTATGAAATGGGAAAATACATGTCATAGGCAGCTGGAGCCCCACCATTTCATTAGAATCTGTTGTTCTAGGTTTGTAGTGAAAACAAATACACCCCGCGTGAGAGCCCGACCCTTGCAGGTAATTGCGTAGCAAGTAAAAAAAAGGCCAGCGTCAAAACTTGAGGGCACCCAAGTTTACAAAGTCCTCACACAGCCCCAGCGGCGTTTTCCATTGGCTGCCATGCCTGTAAACACCACCTGGTTCTCCGATGCGAGTGGACAAAGTCCATATAGCGCTAAAGTGATTGGCCAGGTCTGCCATCATCAAGAGGTTGAGGACGGCAATAGCTCCAGCCTGGCCAAGTAGAGTGCTGCTTAGATTCTGAAGCCCGCGAAAAGAAAACACAAGTTTAGCAAGCGATCAACCGCCTCTCACTGTTGGCCCACCTTTAAGATGCCTGGGGCCTGGTGGCCTTTTTTAAGCACTGCGAGCAGAGAGGACACAGCTATCCATAGGGACCTCATTGACGGTGAGAACTGCGAGCACCCGCCTCTCAAGATTTCATCAAGTCAGGGCAATGAACTCTGTTAGCCATACCCACGCGAAGGTGCCTCTCATCTGTTTCTGCATCATGCGCCAATAATTTCAAAAGCGTCCCCAGCTGCTCGACTCTGCTCCCTTCCAGATACGGCGTCTCAAAGTTGTACTCAACCTCCAGCGATTCAAATCTCCAATTTGCAACTCCAAACGTCAGAGCAGAGCTAAGATCTGCAAGGCAATCGTGGCACATACCGGGCTTTGAGAGAATCTGGCGCAGAGTATCCCAGTTCCTTGCTGCATCGCGGGTCCTGCCAAGGAGTCTCGAGCCATGAAAGAAGCGAAGATCAAACAGGTCGGCAAAGTCCACCAATGCCCCTGGCCTGTGGCGTTTGGGGGAGCAATACTCTGCCCACGCCCCCCTCCCTGCGGAGCTCCGCCGGGAGCGGTCAGGAAGTGTGGGCGAGAATCAGGCGATTTTTCGGGGCCACCCCGCCCCTCTGCTTCTGCATGCTGTCTGTCCTCCTCCGCCGCCGACCGCTGCTTGAGCCGCCCGAGACGGACCGCGCTAGCGTTATTACTACTGTTTACATCGGGAAGAAACTTGAGGGGGACTTGCAAGTCCGTCTAAGTTGCGTTCAGGCTCCTCGCCAAAGCTGCACCACAATCACTCGCAAAGTTTCTTTGGTCTCACGACAAAACCGGATCATTTGCTGACACAACAACAGCCCCAACTGACCGGGTTATTGCACAAAACAGAGTTGTACAACATTATGCGGTGAACCCAGCTGGCGGCATGCAAGCCCGCGTATGATGCTGCGAGATGCCTTCTTCCTGGATCTTCCTCGATTTTTTTCCGGCAGGAATGCGGTCAGTTGGGATGACTTGAGGGCTGTGGTCCGTGGACACAAGTTTGACAAATTGACTCTCCTTGGCTACACAGGCTCAGCATCAGATGAGAAAACGGAATGAAGGGCATGCCTGCATGGATGATTAAACGATCAAAGCAAGCATGAGGCACTGATCAGAACGCAAATCCATCAAAGCAAACGCTATATGATTCTGTGAAAGTTCACATGATTTTGTCAATTGCCGCAAGTCTTCACGCACACAGAAACTCTTAAGGCTCCTCGGATTGCTGTGCAAATCTTCGTCTCAAGCTGTCGCTTGATGTTTGTTCATATGCTCTGAGCCGTTTTTTGGTGAGTGACTCGTCTAGGGCTTCAGGCTCTGTGGAATGCAAACCGAGCCTGCTTTCATCGCATGTCGCTGGAAGCATGGGTACCCCTGAGATGTTGATTAATCAGGATTTTTCAGGATCTGCATGTTGCTTGGCGGGACCCGTTTGAATGACGTATTCTTGGGCCCAAAAATACTTATAAAATTCGACACAAAGTTTCTGAGGCTTTGGCAAATGAGAACAGCTTGAGGCTTGGCATTTTGAAAGCCGAAAGCTCTTAATCCCTTGCCAAGATTTCCCAATTCCAAAACTGCATCTCACAAAATCCACAAAGATCTCCCGAACGATCTTTTGGGATGCTGCTGCCATGTGATCTCAAACTTTCTCGGAAAAAAGCACTGCGGAGTGCGAAACTGAAAACACTTCTCGAAAGCAGCAAAAAAATAAACGTCAGAGTTGAAGAAATGGGTCAAGCCGGATGGTTTCTTGCCTGGGCTGCAGCTGTGCTCTTAGAACTCTTGTTGTTTAGGGTGCAAATTTTCGGGTAACCATCTGTTGTTTTGGGGTGTTGGTTGCCTTGCCCAGCATGGAAAATCCAGTAAAACGTGAGGCCATCTTGCATCCAACTCTTGAGGTGCCCTTTTTAAGTCCAAAGCTTTTGAGTAGTTGTTGCCACAATGCTGAAGCCTTTTGCTTCAAAACTTCCAGCCTTGGCAACACCCAGCATTTGTTTTACCTAGTCATCCTAGGCTTTGGCAAGTTCCCTGACCTCGTTACCTGGGATTTTGGGCCCTCGTTACTCCAATTGTTCAGCTAACCGCCACAATCCCAAAATTTCAGGACTTGTCCGAAAAAAATCTTGCTGTTGGAATTTGAAAGCCCAGGCCGCAACACCGCTGCACGGACGCGCGGGCGGGGAGTTGGATTTAGAACAAATCAAGCATCTGGCAGTGTCAGTGGCGAGCTCGCAATGGCCACAGCAGCCACGGCGGGGGTTCACGATGTGGCAACGTCCACGTGAACAGTCAACGCATGGGCTGCAAACCAGCACGCAAGAAAGGAAAAAAACATAGAAGCAGCTTTCCTCGTAGGGGGGAGGTGAGCTCCGAGGGCTCGGTGCGCGAAGATTTGTTGAGCTTTTGGGAGGGCATTTGTGTCAGGATGCCTCAAACAACTCCGGAAGCCCTGAGGGCGTACAGGTCGCGGGTCCTTGTGAGAAGGAGCGTTGAATTGCAAACTTGCTGTCCATCAACTCTCCGCTTCTGAGCTGCTTGTGTACTCTTTTCAGCTTTGGTCTGCATAAAGCTGTAGGTTTCTGATGAGACATTGCAAGGCTTCTGTTCCGAGCATCCTAAAAAGACACTCACGAAGCTAATATTTCGTAAACAGCGTTGGTTCTGCTTTCAAATAGCTTGCGGACGTAAAGCTTACGGGCTAGGGATTAACATCTCAGGCTTAATTCGAGGTTGATACTCTGAGGCTGAGAAAGGTGTTCCTCAATGGAATTCTATGAAGGAGGCTTTGTTTCGAAACAGCAGAACAGTTTGAAACCCTTAAGACTTTAGCTTGAAGCTCTGGGATGCTAAGTAGCACTCAGAAGGGCAAAAGCAAGACTCAACACATTACACTGAGGACAACAGCTGGCTTTAGGGCTGCGAGGCCCTCCTGAACATTGCAAGATGTTTTCTGAGATTTCGAGCTTTTGCAATGGAGCTGTGGCCTAAACCCTTTAAACCTGTGTTGCTTCTTTGTCGCGCTATCGCGGGCGCCAGTCGCCAGACTGACGCGCCCCAGGAAAAGCTGACACGGATGCATCGTTTTCAGACTGTACGGACGCGAACTATCGCGGCTTGATTTCAGACTATTGAACCTTATTCCACTGACGCGGCCACAGTGGGAACCATGTTTTGGAAGATGCCAAGCTGCCACAGCCATGTAAGACATGAGACACACAACATTTTCGATGTTCAAGCTCACCCTCCAGAGCCAAGTAAACATCTGCTGTCGCGGAGACTATCGCCATAGAACGTCCATGCTTTACTGATGCGAACTCTCGCGCACACCATAAAAGTTGACGTGCCTCGTCATTACTCTCATGTTTGTATAAAACTCCACAGGGGAGGTTTTGGCCAGCACTCAACAGCGTCAGCGATGATAGGAGAATGGACACAGCCTGCCAAATTTATTGGACCTTTACCCTAGTCAATGGGCTTGAGGGCCCCACTTCATCGCTCCCAGGAAACCAGGCAAGTAATTGATGCTACCTTGGGGCTCCTGAAGCCACTGAACTCACGAGACCAGAACAACCTTCATCTCAGGCACCATGCTAAAAGTCTCGAATGCCGTTCACTCCAAAACCTTCAGAGACTACCCTCAACCATTCAGGAAGTACTCTTAGATACTGCCTAAAGGCGGGGCTCACGGCCAGAAAGCTCAGCGGGGAGTCGCGAACGCTGAAAGCCGAGAATGCTGAAGTTCTTATCAGCTGACGCACAAACTCAATCCCAAGCTGAAATGTGATTACCAGTACTAATACTCATGCGAGTGCTACTACTAAAACCTGCATTGATACTGAAGACCAAGGCTTGCCACCCAAAAAAGATCAAAAAAGTTTAGTGGTTTAGTGGGCTTTGGGGTCTTTGATTCTAGAGGGTCTACTCAATTTTTTGGGTGGTCAAAGTCGGAAACCAGAACGGGATAACTGAGGACTTCTGGGAAGGCCCAGAGCATTTATATGTACAATCTACGTATACGTACGTATGAAGGCATGTCTTGCTTAAGTGAATTCACTCTTCAGTCCAAACCCTGTGAACTCTCCGTTTTTGCAGCCTGCCCGCTCCTCGGGCATGAACGTGTAAAGCGTCAGGGCACTGTCGAAATCAAAAATGATGAGCTTCACTGGAGGTTGCAGCTCCGCACCCTCAAACGGCTTTTCGATGCAATGCACTCGCCAGTCAACTTTGTATGCCCAAGGCCGCTTGGCAAAGTCTGCCAATGTTTTGTAGTCCTCCTGAGCTCTGCACAGCGTGCGAAAGTCTCCATCTTACGAGTCTACTTGAACAGGATAGGAAAAGCTGCGCTTTGCACTAGACTTCCCAAAACCTCCCTGAGTTCGGGAAACTCCTGGCCTCATTGTGGGCGCCAAGACCGCCCATGTCCCGCACAAGGCCCATATCCCGAAAGTTTGGCGCGTCATACCCTGTGCCAGGGAACAGACTTGCGGCAAGCAACACTCTTCTTTGTGGAACACAGTGCAACTTCACATTTCTCAGGCAGTCGGGCCACGTGCGACCTTGCAGCAGCGGTAGACCTTCTTCGGGTTGCTGCCTCCACATTGGAAGTTTGTGCGTACGTCATCGACGAGCAGAATCTCCTCTGGCCTGAAGGTAACTCCAAGGGATTGAGCCTTTTGATTTACTGTCAAATGCTGAATCGTAATAGTGTTATGCACTCGTTTGCCACCAGTCCTCAGAGAATCAGGTAGGATGTGCAACTTGGCGTTGGCGATCTGCGGAAACCAGGCAGCCGGCTGCTCCGCGACGCTGTGCACAACGTGTGCCTTGGAACAAACCAAGAAGCTCATGCGATCGCCTTTTGTCTTTGCACATCCTGCCTGCCTTGTGGTCCGGGAGTGAGAAGAGCGGCGGTTCAAAGCTCAACCACTCCTGAGGATCTCAAAGCGAAGCAAACAAGATTTGCACACGATCAATGTCAAACGCCAAGGCAACCCCCAAGTGTGGAACGAGGATCTGTCTCAGCTCTATAGATGCCAGTAGGAATGCCGGGCAGTTGGGACATACACCAAATCGCATCGAAAAATTGTGCCAGCTTGGCCGCCCTGAACAGCTTGTTTGTGGCGGGATTGCACTGGCTGGGAGGACAAGAGCATTTTGCAGAGTTCCATCATTCATGCACGACTGCGGTTCATTCAGGAAAAGACTGCGTTTTGCGAAACGGTCTGATAGCAGCACAACCTGCCGGGAACAGCATCTGCTACCCTTCACTAGACTAGACGGTGCTATACGGTCCTTCTGCTCTTGTGAATGCCCAGGAAGGACTAGTGAGTGGGTTTTGAAACCTACCAAGGCAACTGAATGATACAGTGAGACGACCGCAAGACAAGCGCAGGCCAGCAGTTGTCACTCTCAAGTCGCCGATTGCCACCCATTGTTTGAATTGAAGGTCCGAACTTTGTGGAGGCTCAATGCTTCAGAAAGTTGCTGAGAGTTGCTAGTGAAAGGTTCAAGTTCCTGGCCAAGGCCCTAGAAAGTCACAACAGGCAGTCGGGAGGTGCTTTAGAACAGCATGCCACTTTGGAGCATAGCTTTTAACTTTTGATCGTGGAAATTGACGCTGAGTAAACAAGCATGGCCCAATTCAACATGGAGCACTCGTGCTGAACTAGTCCGGAAGCAAACCCCATTCAACGAAGCGCTCGTAAGACTCTGGATACTCTCGCCTCAGCAGGTTTAGGCAGGCAATTGGTCCATTATTGTTCCTGGTCAGCACGGCCAACATTCGACCGGGGAGCTTGTGTGTGCCTGTCAGGGCAACATGCATCTTGCTCAACGGAAGCTTTTGGATAATATAGGGGCCTCTTCGCAAGTCTTCGAGCATCTCTCGCAGCTGACTCAGCCGGCCTCAAAAGCCAGGTAAACTTGGGCAAGATCCTGCAGCGCCACAACCACAAAGCTGCCTGGGCTTGTGAAAGGAGACTCGAAGTTCACTGTAGCGATATAGTCCTCCCACCTGTGCAGCAGCAGCTACTGGCAAACTCATACACATGCGCAGATGTGCTTTCTTGGCTCCATACTGTGATGTCCAGTCCAATTGCGTTCGGAGTGCGACATCATCGGGAAGAAAGGTAGATAGCGTAAGTGTCTCATCACCTCAGCGGCGCTTGGGTGAGTGCTGAATCTCCTAAGGAGAAGGCAGTCCAGCACAGATTGCAGAGTTATTTTTTCCGCTGCTGCGTGCTTATCCGCACAGCCTGTCTACATCTCCCTTGCTGAAATACATCTATCTATCTGTCTATTTATCTATGCCATTGGCTGCCATCGATGCGTTGGACTCAACGCGCAGCATATCTCACCAGCCAACTTGGAAAGGTCGAAGAGCAGGTGTCCGCTGTTGATCTGTTCACCAGGGAGCCGGTACCAGCGTTCCACAGTTCCACCAAACTCACTGTTTTCATAGATCATCTACGGCTTCCAGTCTGTCATGAGCTGCGCTAGGATCCGACGAGCTTCAGCCACTCCTCCACCCTAGAGCTTTGCGCTTCAGGGCCTTGCGCAATTGGAATGTGGCACTAGTTCCATCCCGATTGCAGTGATGCTGCGCTTCAGCATGCAGAGTGCATGCTGAAGCGCAGCATCAACGCTATCGGAATGGAACTTGGCCGCCAGTTGTCATCTGCCGTGCTTGCCACCGTGTCACCTCAACGCGAGAAGGTGGCCTTCGAAGCAAGCAGGACAGCGATCGTGCCGTTGCTGCCAAGTCTCGGTATCACCACCCTCTTACGGGGTGGGGGGTCACCCCCCCCCCAACTTACTCAATTTCAAGCCGGGGGGTGGCTGCTACCTCCTCTAAATACCTTGCAAAGAACGGGTTGTGGTGGCCCGGCGGCCAGGGACATAGGAAATGCATGGCCCAATTGAGGGTTTTCTTGTAAAAGTGTACAATTCCGCCTGTAAATCCCAAGGCACAAAGCAAAACACCGGCTTTGGTGCCATGGTCACCGTTCC